CCATGGTGGACTGGTTTCAGATGAGTTTCCAGATGAAGACAGTCTAGGAAGAAGAAGAGATGAACTACTTCCAAATATTTAGTCACTAGAAACCTTATGAATAGCAGAAAAATACTGTCAGAAATAGTGCCAGAAAATGAACTCCTCAGGTTATAAGGCACTCAAAATGCAACTGGTGAAGAGCTGCCTCCTTAAAGTAGGATTGTCCTTGATGACATGAATGAAGTGAAGCCCTCAAGACCTTTGTTTGCTGATGGGGCATAATTCAAAATGAAGAGAAACAGCTATAAACATACATCAATAATTAGAACATGGAATGTATGAAGTATGAATCTAGGAAAATTAAAAATTATCAAAAATGAAATGGAACACATAAACATCAATATCCTTGGCATTAGTGAGCTGAAATGGACCAGTATTGGCTATTTTGAATCTGACAATCACATGCTTTACTATGCAGGGAATGACAAATTGAAGGGAAATGGTGTCACATTCATCATCAGAAAGAACATTATCAACATTTGTCATGAGTTACAATGCTCTCTGTGATAGGATAATATCCATGCACCTACAAGAAATACCAGTTAATATCACTATTATTCAAATTTACCTAGATCCCGATCACAGAACTCTGTTGTTCCAAGGTTGAGCATACATAACTATTTACCTCTGTCCCATTTAACCCATACAAACCTGCTTCAGTGTTACCTTATCTACCTTGTTTTTCCATTCCCTTCCTCCTTCTTGTGTATTGCCCTCACCAGCACCCAGACCATTGTGTGTGTATCCCCTAACCTGTGTTCTACCATTTCCTCCCTCCCACCCCATTAGCTGACAAAGAAATTTTATTTTCTTTCTTTTAGTATGGGTATCTGTTCTTAAGTTTCATATTATTACTGTTTCCACATTCTTCTTGGAGTTTCATTTTCTTGGTACATTATAAAATATTGATTTTCTCTGAGGTTACCCCATATTCTATTAACTTTTTCCTCCATTTAAAACTATCTATTTTACCCTGCAATCTACTGGACTTCCTCATCACCTGGATTTCTGTTCCAATATTTTTAAATTCTTTCACATTGTAATTGTTTTGATCAGACTGACCTCCCAGATCCTCTGAATTCATTCTTGTAGTTATGTTCTGTTCTGTACTCTTCCATCTGTCAATTGACTTCTGGGTGGTGTTGTCACTCATGTCAATCTCTGCTTGCTGTCTGTTCTTGTTGGTTCTAAGTCCAAAGAACTCCCTTTATGATGTTTTGAAGTGCATTGTTGGCTTTGACAAAGTCCCTTAGCTTCTGTTTACCCTGGGATGTTTTTGTTATTCCATTATATTTGATTGACAGCTTTGGTGGGTAGACAATTCTTAGTTGGCAATTCTTTTTTTTTTCTTTCAGGGTTTCATATATGTCTCCCTAATGCCTTCTTGCCTGTATGGTTTCTACTGAAAGATCAGAGCTTAATCTTATTTGCTTGCTTTTGTAGGTAACACTTCCTTTTTCCCTAGCTGCTTTCAGTATTCTCTCCTTATCTTGCTTTTGGAAAGCTTGATTATGACATGTCTAGGTGATGTTCTTTTGGGGTCTATCCTTCCTGGGGTTCTTGAATGCTTATCTTTCCATTTTTCAGGATGTTAGGGACATTTTCTTACAGAAGTTTTTCAACTGTCTCCTCTGTGGTCTTCTGTGATTCTTCCTGTTCTAGATTCCAATAATTTTCAAGTTATTCCTCTTCATGTTGTCCCACATGAATCTTAGACTTTCTTCAGAAATTTTTTATCCTTTTTTCTGTTTGCTCTTCTATCTTAGCACTATTGAGAGATTTGTCTTCCAGCTCACTGGTTCTGACTTCCATCTCTTCAGTTGTACTAATTTCCTCTTTCAGTGTATTGTCCATTTCTGATATTTTATTACTTAATCATTTGGACCACTTTTTGCAGGTTTTGAATTGTTTCCAATGCCATTTCTATCTTATTTGATTGTTTCTGACTTCTTCCTTGTTTTTCTCAAATCTTCTGTAGAGCATTTTGATGCACCTCAATATCATTCTCCTGAATTCCTTCTCAGACTGTTCCAAAGCTTTCCTTCCTTCCAATGGGAACTCTAGGACTACCTGCAACTCATTTGTTTCAGTTACTCTATCTTG